CCTCCCCCCCCCCCTCTCTTCGCTCGTCCTTGGCCTCCCCTACCCTGGTCCCTCGCCCTCGCCGCCGCCCCCCCCCGTCGTCGTCGCCCCCCTCTGCCCCTCCGCCCCGCGCGGCGCGGCAGTCTCCTCGGATGGCTGCAGTGGATGGAGCGGGCCGACCGCGCATTTGTGGGGGCGGGGTCGTCTACGGAGGATGGAGGGAGGGAGGGAGGGAGGGAGAGAGGGAGGGAGGGGTAGGCGGAGGAGGAGGAGGAGGAGGAGGAGGAGGAGGAGGAGGAGGAGGAGGAGGAGGAGGAGGAGGAGGAGGTGGAGGAGGAGGAGGAGGAGGATGAGGAGGACCAGGGGGAGGAGGGGGGGTCACCATCTGCCAAACCACCCCAGCCCAACCCGAAGGCCTCAACTTGCCCTCCACCTCCAGTGTGGGGGGGGGTGGGGGAACATGGAGAAAGCACATATGGAACCCGTACCCCCCCCCCGGGTTGGGTTGGGGTGGTCTGGTAGGTAGTCAGGGGCGGGGCCGCGCGGGCGTGCTCTGGCGCCGGGTGCGGAGGAGCGTCCAGATCGACGAAAGATGGCAAGCTTCGGGGGAAAGATTCAGAGGGGGAAGGGTGCCCCATACCGCTGCCCTGCCCTCGTTCGTCTCCTTTGGGGCCTCCTGGGAGGCCCTCGTCGCAACTGCTGCATCCGCGACGAAATTCTGGTCAGAACGCACCCTGGGAGAGGTCCGGAAAGCGCAGCGGCATTGGTACCTTTCGGTCTCCCCACTTAGGTAGCAGGTCCGTCAAGTCTATCGGGCCCGCCGACAAGATCGGCGAATTTACGCGCGCGGACTCTGGAGGTTCAATTCTTTCTGACTTCGAGTCTCTTGAACGTCTGCGGGAGTAGTGTTGCCTGGGAGCCGGCGTCTTGGAGAACCCAAGGGCGGTGTTTGGGGTGGCTTCTCCTCCATGAAGGTACACTTTAGAAGGCCCGCGTGGATTTCTCGGATCTGCGCCGAGCCGACCTCCCCCCGGCTCGCGGAGCGCGCCAGGGGCGCCGCCAGGGGCCTCAGCGCCGAGCCAAGATGCCCGTGCGCGAGTCTTTCTCTTGGAGTCTAGGGCCACCACGAGGGTGCAACTCTAGTCGCGCTTCGCGCTGCGCGGTCAGGGCGGTGTCAGAGCGAGGCGCGAGTCCCTCATCCTGTTCGGGGGGGGGGGGGGGCGGCGCGAACGCGCGAAGTTTCATCTCGCTCGGCGCTTCACGGAGCGCCGAGTGCGATGGCAGTTGCCCTGCTAGAGTTGGTATGGGTCCGGTTGTGGCCACCGATCTCCCCGGCCCTGGTTGTGCGCAGGTCTTGTCGCCGTTCTGGGGCCCCCCCCCTGGGCCATCTTCGGCGGCGAGCGAGGGGGGGAAGTGAGAAGGAGAAGGCCTTCTCAGAAGGCTCGGAAGCCCCCCGGCCTTCAGCGGAGTCTTCGAAGCCTTCCCCGAAGACGCAGAGACCTTCTCTTAAGGGGCGAGGGCTTCTGAGAAGCCCCGCCGCCTTCTGAGAAGGCCGTCTCCTTCTCACTTCCCCCCCTCGCTCGCCGCTGATGATTGTCCCGGGGCCAGAGTCTGGGCGAAAACGCCTGGCGTGAGCATGTTGCAACGCCCGGATCCCAGGGTTCCTCCTCCGAGCCTTGAGGGTTCCTCCTCCGAGCCTTGAGGAGCCGCCGGCATCTTGAACCTCGCTGGGGGTTGCCCTGGAGGCCCCGGGGGCATCCCGGGAGCTCCCGGGGGCGCTTCGGGCCAGGGGCACCGTTGCAGGCACCCGGCGCACGTCGGTCGAGGCGCCTGCAGAATTGGTACAGGGGGGAGAGGGGAAGGCGGAGGAGCAGGGCAACGAGTCGCCGAAGGAGGAAGGACGCGAGCAGGAGGACGCGAGCAGGACGGAGGAGGAGGAGGAGGAGGAGGAGGAGGAGGAGAAGGGGGAGGGGGGGGAGGAGCAGAAAGAGGAGAGGGCAAAGGATGATCATGATGATGATGATGATGATGATGATGATGATGATGATGATGATGATGATGATGATGCTGATGATGCCGATGCTGATGCTGATGCTGATGCTGATGCTGATGCTGATGCTGATGATGATGCTGATGATGCTGCTGATGATGATGATGCTGATGATGATTATGATGCTGATGCTTATGCTGATGCTGGTGGTGGTGATGATGATGATGATGATGATGATGATGATGATGATGATGATGATGATGTGAGGAGGAGGAGGATGATGCTGATGCTGATGCTGATGCTGATGCTGATGGTGATGGTGATGACGATGATTATGCTGCTGCTGCTGCTGATGATGATGATGATGATGATGATGATGATGATGATGCTGATGATGATGATGATGATGATGATGATGATGATGATGATGATGATGATGCTGATGATGATGCTGATGATGATGATCGGAGGTTGTGGGGTGAGATCGAAGTGGAACGGAGAGCCCCCCACCGGGAAACCGGTTTTGGTTTC